CACAGGTCGTTTCTGAACTCCGTAAAGAGAACTGCAACCGCCGCATCATCCTCCATCACGATAATAAGAGTTCTCACACCGCACACAGAACAAAAGAGTTTTTAGAGCAAGAAAACATAGAATTATTAGACCATCCGCCGTACAGCCCCGACCTAAGCCCTAATGATTTCTATACTTTCCCTAAAAGACAGAGATTTTCATCACCTGAAGAAGCTGTGGACGCCTACAAAACTGCCATTTTGGAGACCCCAACATCCGAATGGAATGGTTGCTTAAATGATTGGTTCCATCGTATGGAAAAATGTGTCAAATTTCGCGGAGAATACTTCGAAAAGCAATAAATACATTATTAAATAGTTATGTTGTGTCACTTCCTTGATTCCCGAAATTTTCATGTATAACTATTATAACGACATGATTTCCAAATTGATATTTTTACAGAATTGTGATAATACTGATGGAGTTATAGAGTAGATGTACATTATGTGACAGTTACTTCTTCTTAGTTTTAGATTCTTACTAATCCGTTGGGCTATGTCGGTTACTCTGGTCCTACTGCGGATATCCTCATTTCTAAGTCTATCACGCACAGACATCCCGAGCATAGCCATCTCCATAGCTTGCTGAGCGACGTTGAGCTTCCTCATACGGCCAGCAGTGAATGACCACGTCTCAGATCCGTAAGTCATCACTGGCATTACGCACTGGTTGTACAATTTCGTTTTCAGGTTTTGAGGTATGTCTAGCGAGAAGATGTGTCCTAGTTCCCCGAACGCTGCCCAGCCAAATAGAATCCGTCAATTGACCTCTTGGTCGAAGTTGGACTTCGACGAGTCGGACTAATTGTCCCAGGTAAACATACTCGTCAACAACTTCGAGCTTAGTGCTCCCAACAACTACCGGCATAGGTGTGACATGGACATTAAACATGATTTTTGTTTTGTCCATGTTCATTTTAAGACCTATCCGTTGGGAGACACTATTGAGGTAATTGAGCATAGTGCTTAGGTCCTCCAGCGATTCTGCCATAAGGACTATATCGTCGGCAAATCGAAGGTAAGTGATGTACTCGCCATTGATGTTAATACCGTATCCTTTCCCGTCCAGTAGCTTGAAAACGTCTTCCAATGCAGCGGTGAAGAGTTTCGGGGATATAACGTCACCCTGTCGTACACCTCTCCGCAGTTGGATAGGTTTCGTACTCTGATTCTGTAATCGGATAGCCATCGTAGCTCTACTGTACAAACACTTCACTTGAAAGGACTGCAGTACCGCACAAATTTCGACGGAATCAAAGGCTTTCTCATAGCCCACATACGCAAGGCAAAGTGGCAGATTATACTCCTCTGTCTTCTGTACAATCTGCCGCAGGGTATGTATGTGGTCCAAGGTACTAAAGACTTTTCGGAAACCAGCTTGTTCGGGAGGCTGGAAGTCGTAAAATCTTAGCTTAGCTCCGATCGCATGGACAGTTTCCACGAGCTTGTCATTCATACCGTCCACTTCATTGCAGTCTTCTAGGCACTGAAAACGGTTTTGTAACTCGAGCTGAAAGGTTTCGGGACTTTGGATTAGAGCACGAGGGGGGCGGAGCGTTGACTTCATTAGACGAGACCTCTCCAACTTAACGTTTAGGTTCAGTGTGCCTCTAACCATTCGGTGATCGCTGCCGGTTTACACCCTCGCGATCACTGAGATATCACTGAACAGTTGTCGTCTGGTCGTCATAATGAAGTCAATCTCATTTTTTGTCGAACCGTCGGGGCTCGACCAGGTCCACTTCCTGTGGGGCCGCTTCTGGAAGAAAGAGTTCATCATAAAGAGTCCCTCTTTTTCCATGAAGTCGGCCAGTTGCTGGCCCCTTGGGTTCCGTTGTCCTATTCCAAATTTCCCTACTTTCAGCTCACCGTTCTCTCTTGTGCCTAGTTTTGCATTAAAGTCTCCCAATAACACCGTATAGTGGGTTTTGGAGGAATCCATGGCTCTAGAGATATCCTCATATATTTCCTCCACCTCCTCATCGGGATGTGCCGAGGTTGGTGCGTAAACCTGTATGACAGCGAATACCGTTTGGTGATTCTGAGTATAAGGTACGCAACCCTCGTCGACAGACTCTCAGTCTTTACAACGTTGTTAACGAGAGACTTGTGGACGATAAATCCGACACCTCCTTAGGACAGATGGTCGCCCTTCCGGTGATAGAGCAAGTTGCCGGATTCGAGGATTACTGTGTCCTCCCCCTCTCTTCGGACCTCGGATAATCCTATAATATGCCAGCGCAACTTGTCTATCTCTTCTTCCAGCTCCAGGATCTTCTCGTCAGTCTTCAGGGTGCGTGCGTTGTACGTTGCCAGATCGAGTCGTCGTAGGTGGCAACCGAACCTCCACTGGAGATTATTAGCACCCCCTGCCCCGCCGTTACCATGGTCGTCACCATAGCCAGGAATAGCGGGGCCGCCGGGGACTGGGGGCCGTCTCTTTGTTGCTCTAATCATTGGGGGTATTTGCCATAGTTGCCACGCTTTGCGAGTGGGTTGGCAACCGCAGTTTTGTTTTATTGAACTTTTGCTGTTATCAGGAATATGCTGCTGCCCATCTCCTGCCTGTTTCCCTTTGTCGCCTTTTACGACACCCACGGGAAGATATGGGGTAGTGGATATTCTTAACCGCCACTACACGGCAATTATATTCAATTATATATAATAAATATTATTTTCAGTTCCTAAAGCAAAATGAAACAAAAAACTTCAGCTCATTACAAGTCCACTGTTAAACATAGTTCTTATAGATTGTCACAAAGTACGGTCCTGAGCCACCTGCATCCACCGACTATGTAGTGGAGGGTGGCTCAACACTGCGCTCTCCAATATGAGGTTGCCACTTATGAAATTTTCTTCCCTATCGGTTGTCGGATCTTCGAGTCGTATGACTACATCAACTTACTAATTCGCTGGGCTATGTCATTTACTTTTATTTTCTGCAGATATCTTAGTTTCGGACTTTATCCTGCCGAAAAATTTAGAGCTTCTTAATAGCAGGTTTCAGTTCCCTAAGTCATCACATGCACTAGCATTATCACAACCTTTATATTTTATTTAGATTTTAACATGATTATATCATATGATTATATATCATTATTTATGATCAATAATCATTGTGATTAAACAATAACCAGTGAACATTATGAGGTGAAGAGTCAAAGTGAAAATTATTAGAACTTTTCACGTGTCCCAAACTATTGTTGTTTTTTTTTATTGTTGAACAATTATTGTTGTGGTACCTGATTGATATACTTATAAGTGTTTTTGATTTTGTTCAAATTTAATTTTGATGTTGACTTCATTTTTAATAGACTTCAACAAAAGGAAGAAGTTCTCAATTGGACTATATTTTTTATGTTTCTTATCTCAGAACTTTCTTCTAGGTGAACCGATTTTGATGATGTTTTATTTGAAAGCTGGTACGTTTTATGTAGTGCCATATAAATTGATCAAGATCTGACCAGTAGTTTTTGAGTTATCTTTAATAATGCGTGTTTAATTGCCTTCGAATACATTGATGATTTTACCATTTATATTGATTGTTTCAGAATAATTATTACATACAATAACGATCCTGTTGATATTTAATTTTTTGTAAACAAACTAACACACCTTGGAACAGCTATAATATCTACTATCTACGCATAAACAAATCGTCATTTTCATAGGTACTTTGCGCATAGCTACTTTATTATTTTTCCGTTGTCGCTTCTTATACTAAACGGTACTAAACGTAAATTCATTGTCAGTTATAATAATTAAGTTTTACGGAACCAAGTTGTGTAAAACGTATTAATTATAAGATAATCTACGTATAACGTATACAATAACACGAGTCAAGTTATTGCGCTACAATTATTTACTGTCTTTATTTAGCACACGGTGAACCGAAAGAGATGAGACGAGCATGAAAGGCCAGAGTTCATTAGGAGTCACTCGCTTGATTTTATTTGAATAAAACGGTACTGTTGTTCTTTTGGGACTTTAGTTCTTTTTGAATATTCAAGAAGTTCGGTTACTAAAGATGATACGTGCAAAATATTATTGTATATTATTCGTTTTGATACTGCAGTGGTGTAATTCAAGCGCTAGTAAGTAGATTCATAAATCTAGTTATAACAAATATTAATGTTTTTGTATTGCTTCATCTATTATTTGGAATTAATATAACTTTCCAAAAGTACAAAGAAAGATTTTTTGTTATAGGATAAAGGTGACAAACTAGCACACAGTCCATCTGATGGTGAATGGTTGCTGCGGCCCATAGACATCTATTTCTATCCTCTATTACAGATCAAAATGCAGATGCATTGTCACCCGTGAGGACTAAGATAGAATGCCTCATTTCCAGTAAAAAGGGTCTCCGATTCACTACACTCACCATACGAAACACAGCAGCGTAAAGCTGCAATTTTACGCTGGTATTCTGTGAGATTGCAATATAATGACAATTAATGTGAGGTGGAACCATGTTTTTTTAAAATACTACTAAAGTGACAAAAAAAACAACAGTCCACCTGATGATAAGTGGCTACAGTCAATGAATACTTGCACTTCATATAAAGATGGCTAGATATAAGTTGTCATCCCTGATGATTTATACCGGGTTTCTATGTTAAAATGCTCCATTTTTTTCGTTTCGCAGTAAATGAAGTGCATGAAAACCCTTTTTTAACCAACTTCAAAAAAGGAAGAGGTATTTAATTCGACAGTATTTTTTATGTGTTACCTCAGAATTTTTTCTAGGTGAACCCATTATTACGATTTTTTATTTGGAAGATGCTTCTCACGCTCCTTATTAGTTATCCGTATTTAGTTGACTTCGATAATGTTCTCATTTTATTCATATTGAAGTCAGTTGTAGAAATTTTTTAATATTAGCACTAGTTTAAAACAATATACTAGTTCAACTATGTATGAAATGAACCATTTAAAGATTTATTTTTATTTTATGTCAGCATAGGTGGCTGAAAAAATAGTTTGTAATATAAACTGTTTCTACATGTACTTTGTATGTAATAAAACGAATTGCTGTGGAGACTAAAACGTTTCTTAAATATAGGAATCAGTCATAAGCTGGAATGCAATTCTTCAGCGAAGACACATTAGGATACTTAATACAGTTTTTTCTATTTTATTCGACAAGCACTATCCAAATTATCTGAAACATAAGTTTCAGTATCTGCGAGATACTCATGACAGACAGCTTCGTTCATCGGAGACTCTTGCTCTCTTTATACCCCTTCACCTTTCGAGTTTCATATCTTCATAGTTTGCTGTCCAAGCCGCACGCCTATGGAATTACCTGCCTGAAAAATTAAGACAACCTACCTGCAAAAAAAAAATAAAAAAAAATAAAATAAAATAAAAAAAAATAAAATAAATAAAATAAAACATACATATAAGAAGAACATTCGAGATCATTTTCTAAAATTGCTTTACAACTGCTAAGTTCCGTCATCATTAGTATATATATTACTTATCTTTATGTATCTTGTATTTTATTTTATTTTCTTATAATATATAAATTTATATACTTGTGTATATTGATATATATCAAGTACATATGTATATATGTAATTTATTTATGTGTGTATTTGTAGGTATAATATATATATATATATATATATGTATGTGTGTATGTATATTTCTTTGTAACCGCCTTTGTAGTTATATCAGTTTACTGGCAGAGAATGCTTTTAGCATTAAGTCCGCCTTTTGTTCCAATACTTAATGTGTAAGGTTCAATAAAGTTTAAATAAATAAATCAATAAATGCCTCACACCCTATTATTATACTTGCGTTCTATACCCTTGAACACAACAATGTAAGCATTGCTACTTGGCGGCAGAAATAAGTAAGAGAGTGGTATCTACCCAGATGGACGCTTAGTCTTTATTTTTTATAAGATAAAGGTGACAAACGAGCACACAGTCCACCTACCTGCTGGTAAGTGGTTGCTGTGGCCCATAAACATCTACATCTATCCTCGATTATACGAATCAAAATGCCGATGTGTTGTCACGCATGACGACTAAGATAGAATGCCTCTTTTCCAGTAAAAAAGGGTATCTGGTTCGACATTCATATAAATACAGCAGCGTTAAGATGCTATTTTACGCTGGTATTTTGTGAAAGCGCGGTTCTACCTCGGTCGAGCCGACCTGTTGTGTTGTGTGTTGCTGTAACTATATCACTAATATAACTGTAGCATGGCTCTACCACGTAAAAGAGTCAGAAAAGGAGTCGTACCAAATAGCAAATATATATAATAAATGTTGTAACATATTCTACGCACACCTGCACCCAATTTCGAATAAAGAAGGTCATATAATATTCGTTTTTACTTTTTAGAACTACGACAGAATGCCCTGCAACTTGTTTTATACTAGATCTGTTAACATCCAATTTGAAACACAGCAGTTAGTGCACTGCTGCTTTTCGATAGATTGTTGAATTGCAGAACCCAGCCAGGAGGAGTCTATGGTGAAATCAGTTTTCACGGAATTAGGAATTACAGTAATTAATAGAACTAGCAATTGAATATTTCAGAACCTCGTGGATGTTGAATATTCCAGTTAAGAAGACAAAGATATTTTATTAACATTCGCATAAATGAAAACAACGTTCTTTACTTTCTGTTGTTTTCAAAATGTTCAAATACTCAACTCACAAACATAACGAAGAATAATTTACTACTAGTATGTTTTAATTTGTTTGTAACGAATAATTATACCAATCGGTTTAAGGGATGGATTAAAAATTTTAATGATTTGAAAATACATACTTATATAGTTGATGTAGTAGTTGAAGTATAATAAATCACTTATCACCTTCATCAGTCCGTAAATGTTCAAGCCACGCCATATGCTGCTTCCAGTTAAGCCAGCCTGTGTATTTTACGTCTAGTGTTGAGATAGTTATACCGCTATACCTATATGTCGGAAGCCATAACAACTACGAGCATTTCTCATAGTCGCTTCTTACTACACCTACGGGGCAAATTAAAGTACCTAATGGATTTTCTAGGGGACTAATAAAGAACACAAAAGATAAATGTAACAATAAAACATTTGTCCGTTTTAATTTAATGAAATATTATCTGTAAAAAAGGTAAATCAAGAAAAAAATAAATTATTGAAATCATTACATCTTAATGAGTCTCGTAACCAGTAAAAAGGTTCTACGGTTTTCTACACTCACTGTACGAAACACAGCAGCTTAAGCTGTTATCATTACGACCAATTCGTGCTGTAATTGTAATATAGCATGGCTCCATCCCGTCAAAAAGTGTGTATGTGTTGGGCATTTAAGAAGAAATAAACCAAAGTATTTTTTTCATTGTCATCCTTATTTCGACGTACTCTCGACTGAACGATGTTGGAAAAATGATACAAAGCGAACTCCATTACAGTACAGCATTGACTGTGCGAAGCTGTGATGTCGCATGTGGTGATTGATGCACCAAAATCGTCGTGTAGTTCATGCAAGAAAGAGTGTATGTGCAGCATATTATATAAAAAATTGTTTCAAGATTTCAGTAAACTATTTTTTGCAGCTTGCCCTCAAATAGTGACACGAAAAGACTGGGACGGTCTTAGACCAGTTCATGTCAGCTATCTACCGCGACCAGTTGCGCTCGTGATCATCCAGCATACTGTCACATCCACGTGCAATACGGATGAAAAATGTGCTGAAATAGTGAGGAATATCCAGTCTTATCATATGGAAAATCTTAACTACTGGGATATTGGACCTTCGTAAGTATTTACTACATTTTTGCCGAAGTAGTGTACTGGTGTGCACTCATTAGCTCATTACTTACTTCGCTAAGTGGATTAGATACGAATACTTAAGATTTCATATTATTATTCTACATATAATGGTTGAAAATACCATTACCGACCTAAAGACTGTGTTATGGTTTAACATGTACAAGACATAATACTAATTTAAGCATTAGACACAATAAACCATTTCAATGTCCTGTGAGTCTTAAAGAAACAGTTCTATTGTTAAAATATTGTGTCGTTTTACGGATAGGGAAGTTGTCAATAATTGAAATAATTGAATTGAACTTGTCTTGTTTGTGGGCTTCAATTGTAGTTGTGTGATATGCATCGTTCGAGATTTACAAAAATCCACCTTGAACCAATATAAATCCATTCATAGACAAGATTTACCTAAAGATGTAAAACAAATAATTATTCTTGAAACTAATAATCATCTAAAATACCGCACCACAGAACACCACAGGCAGCGTTGGATACGTTCCGTCATATTTTTTATTTTGCTCTAAAATATGTTGCAAAGCGTGGTGTTGCACTGCTTGGTATAGGTAGTTATTGTTGATCGGTTGTGGTATATCGTTGGTTATGAATTGAAGCTGAGTCGTCACATCATCACATCTGTAGTTTTATTTTCTTTAAGTACTACGCGGACGAATTCGGACAAAAATTGGTCTTTGTATCTATATACATACATATAAATAAAATTGAAGTGTCTCTCTGTAGTATCGAACAGACTTCCTTTTATTATGCTCAACGGGTTTTTTTGAATGCATATAAATAACCATTTTTAAATTTTTGCCTGGTTGTATGTCTTGCCTGGTATCTCCGAGTTAATCTTTGGAATAGCTTAGCCGATTGTGCTGAAACCTTCACAAACGGATAGAATATATATATCGGACAATTACAAACAGAGGATCACAATTTTGATCTCTGAAATACATCAGGATAGCGTTAATTGTTAAAAATAATAAAGGTGTGAGAGCGGATGTTCAACTTGCTCTCTTGCTTACGCAGTTTAATCATTATCAGTAATAAGACAACGTAACGCACTATACATTCAGTATAGTGAAATTGCAGTTCGACCACACCGTAACACGTCTCCGCTACAATCACACACCAGTGTAACGTGAGGTACGTAATTACATGATAACACCAAAATATGTACAGCAACAGCAACACTACTTATCTCATTGTAACACAGGGCAGCCTCTCAGCAACACCAATCCTCATTGCCTGCACTAGAAGAATTACAACAACGAACAGAACCACGACACTATCTTAGCACTAGTAGAATGACCACACTCGTTGAATGACGCGGAATCTCTCGCGCACGGCACCTACAGTGAACTTTACACTGCACAAACAAGTGGGAGTTTCTCGATATACCCTCATATCCGGAGTGAAAGTCGGAGCGTCTATAAAATATCTCTTGGATCGAGGGATCCAAGAGATATTTTATAGACGCTCCGACATATTATTTATCCGTTTGTGAAGGTTATATATATATATATATATATATATATATATATATATATATATATATATATATATGTTAAAACATGGAGAACTTTTTTCTGTAATCGAATAACTGATAAAGAAAATGGTTTTTGATGATTAATTACTTATGAGATATAAAGAATATTCGGACATAACTTTTTGGTTTACAATTTGACAACAAAAAATCCTTTCTCTTTATCGTCCTTTATCTCAATTCAACATACACATTTTCGAGATATAAACCAAAACTGAGCATAAAGCGGTTTATCGATAATTAAAGTACTTGCCCAAAGACCTGAAGTTTTTTAAAGTCACGGCGATACGCGGACGAATTTGCGGCTTAATGCTAGTGTTAAAAAATATTTACTCCCAAAAGGTGCACGGCCGACTTTTAATTTTGTACCTCTTTTCTAATTGACTGTAGTCCTTTTTCATATGAATACGGTGATGACAAAGTGTCGTGTTATGTCATTTGATTCGCAAACGAGGATAGATATATAGACATCTATGGGCCACAGCAACCACTTACCATCAGGTGAACTGTGTGCTCGTTTGTCATCCCATCCTATAAATTTTTTTTTAAATATTATGCAATTCTTTTATGCGTTGAATAAAACTAGTTTTATGAATCATCCTTTATACTATTTTCTTTTTATGGAATAAGGGTGACCCCTAGACATCAATGTGCATCCCCGATTAAGAATCAAAATGCAGATGCGTGGTCACTCCTTGTTGCTATTTGAATTTCATGAATCATTTTACGTAATTTAGTTAGCTGTAGTAGACAGCTTGCGGCAACTGTAATTTCACGGTACGTGAGCAATTTGGATTCAATCCCTGCCGGCACCAAATTAGTAAATACCAAAATAGTAAAATACCATTATAAATGCTGATTTAGCACGTGATTGGCGGTAAAGGAAAACTTTGTGACGAAACCTGCATGTCTGAAAATTTAAGAAAAATATATTTCGAAGTAACCTCTTATATATGACAGGAGGTATATGCTCAACATTGGGACGTAAATTATATGCTGTTTCTTGTTTTAATTTACTCCATATTTTATTTGCAGAGGATGAACCAACATCTAAAGCTTTAGATGCTGCGAAGGAATTGATTAAATGTGGCGTTCAACAAGGTCACCTGGCATCAAACTACCATGTTGTGGGACATCGTCAATTGATTGCGACCGAGAGTCCCGGAAGAAAACTGTATAATGAGATAAGAAGATGGTCAGATTGGTTGGATGATGTCAGTTCGATAAAGAACTAAAAAATTTGCGACTCCTATCAAAATTATTACTAAAACGTATCTACGTAAACTTAAATACTCAATTGAAATATAAGACTTATATCTTCTGATTTGCATCTTTCTTTTTATTACTATTCTCTATATCTAAAACATAAATAGTGTATTCCTTTTAAACCTAATCGACACGTGGAGTGTTTACTGACGAACGAGGCCCCGTTTTTAGGGTTCCGTACCCGAAGGTTATCCAATGGGACTCTATTACTAAGCCTTCGCTTTCCGTCGGTCTGTCCGTCCGTCCGTCTGTCTGTCAGCGGGATGTATCTCATGATCCGTAATAGTTAGAGAGTTGAAATTTTTTACAGAATGTGTATTTCTGTTGCCGCTATAACAATAAATAATGAAAATAAATTAAAAATTAAAGGGGGCCTCCCTTACTAGAAAACTGTTTTACGATGGTACGGAACCCTTCATGCGCGAGTCCGACTTATACTTGGCCGGTTATTTATTATTTGGTGCATTCATCAAAATATACCCATATCAGAGACCCATTTCTGCGTTTACGAAATCAGCATTCCCAGTAAAGTGGTAAGTATGTTCATATATTTCAAGGAATATACGACTGTTTTAATATACTTGAAAAGGCATGTGCCTCTATATGTCCAGCTGAGGACTAAAAAGGCAGACGATGATATGTAATAATATATGCATATAATAAAACTGTAAATTGTAGGTGTATGTAAATTGTATATTTTTGTAACAAAATGATTGGCACGGACAAAAAATAACTAATAAAACAAGTAAACGCATTTCTATGATTTATACAATTGTCTGTCTGTCTGTTTTTTTATTTACGCATCGTGTCTAAAGTACCAATATTTTTGAAAATAATCGTTGAGAAAATTATAAAGTGTATCATCGAGTAATATTAAGCCTTCGTTTTATTAAAATCGGTTCGTTCTATCAAAAGTTATGAATATTATTTTCAAGTAATTTTTTTTATAGTCAAAGGGTGACAAACGAGCACACAGTCCACCAGTGGTTGCTGTGGCCCATAGACATCCTCATCTATCTACGTTAGCGAATCAAAATGCAGATGCGTTGTCACCCGTGAGGACTAAGAAGGAATGCCTCGTTTCCAGTAAAAAGGGTCTCCGGTTCTCTACACTCACCATACGAAACACAGAAGCTTTAAGTTGCTATTTTACGTTGGAATTCTGTGAGGGCGTGGTCTTCCCCAGTGTAGCACGAATGGGTCGGTACGACTGTACCAACCCATTCGTGCTACAACTATACAATTAATATAGCTGCAGCATGGCTCTACCACGCATAATAACGTTTAATAACGGTTTATATATTAAGTGCATTTTAATCTTATCTCAGAAATCGTAATTAAATGATGTAAAATAATGTTCTTTAACGATATAAAGATGTTTACTCACAAATATCAACATAATACAATCTTAGAAGAAGTTCAATAGGTGACACTGGTTAACAGTGTCACCGATAGTGTTGTGCAAATGTAATGAAAAATGGCGGGTTGTTTTTTTTTCCTGTAAATATATCTTCATAATTGCTGCTGATCTTTATATTACTCATAGACGGATTATATATAAGTAATAAGCAACACATTTATTTATTTTCAATTTATAAAATTTTGGCTTACTTACAATGTTTTTCTTTACCACCGAGTACATAGTAATCAAATTTTAAAAGTGCTATTCCGTTGGTTTCGGAGAGAATCAAACCTAGGTTCTTAATATTTTTTTATAGGAGAGGCGGCAAACGAGCATGCGGCTCACCTGATGGTAAGTGACTACCGCCGCCCATGAACCACTGCAACATCAGGGGAATTGCAGAAGCGTTGCCGGCCTTTAAATATGGACTATGCTTGCACTTATTTTCAAAACTCCTGATTCAAAGATTATTTTATATAATGATTCATGCAAACGCGTCGAAATTTTTGTCATTTAATCTAAAGAACTCATGGTTATAGCGCCATCTCTCTTCCATCATCATCATTACAGCCCTTCACAAGTCCACTGCTGAACATAGCCCTCACCCAAGGAATGCTACAAAGCACGGTCCTGAGCCACCTGCATTCATCGCCTTTCTGCATGTCTTACCAGGTTGTCACTCCATCTAGTAGGGGGACGCCCTACACTTTGTCCGCGGCTTAGAAGCCGCCACTCGAGAAACTTTTTCTCCATCGGTTGACGGTTCTTTGAGTTATTTGACCGGCCGTTTGCCACTTCAGCTTACTAATCCCTTCACGTCACTCTGTATCTATCTATAAATATAAATATAACTTTTATCGGATGAAAGTACGTACGTAAAGAAATACTCCGAGAAATTGAATCTAGACGTTAATTCGATAATACCTGCGTGTGCCAAACCACCGAAGTTGTATGGGTTACCAAAAGTACACAAACTGAACGCTCCATTACGTCCAATAGTGAGTCAGATCGATTTGCCAACTTACAGATTGGCTCAACACTTAGCAAAAGTACTATCACCACTCAGAGGACACACAAGAGCACACACTAACGATTCATACCATTTTGTCCGTGAGATAAAATACCTATGTTCTACTGACAATGAAACTATGGTCAGTTTTGATGTTCAGTCTCTATTTACATGCCTACCTGTTGAAGACTGCATCTCAATTGTAACTAGGAAACTAGAGGAAAACAACATGCCAGCAGAATATGCAGTATTACTCAGACATTGCCTTACATCTGGCTATCTATTGTGGAAGGAAGAGTTTTACAAGCAAGTAGATGGTATTGCGATTGGCTCACCGGTATCTCCCATTGTTGCCGATATTTTCATGGAGGACTTTGAGGAGAAAGCCCTGCTTATTGCACCAGTAACTCCAAGGTTCTACAAGCGGTACGTAGACGATACTTTCGCAATTTTACCATCAGACAAAGTAACTGCATTTTTAGAACATCTTAATTCCATAAACTCTAAAATTCAATTTACTATGGAGTTAGAGGCAAATAATTCTTTAGCTTTCATAGATGTGTTAGTCATTCGAAATCCTAATTACATCATAGGTCACACAGTGTATAGAAAAAAAGACCCATACAAACCGATATTTAAACAATGAATCCCACCATCAGCCTTCACAGTTAGCTACCGTGGGCAAATCTTCATTACAGAAAGCACGAGGGATCTGTGACAGCAAAGACCTGGCCGCCGAGCTTCAACACGTCAAGCAGGTTTTGCACGACAACAAGCTTCGGGTCCCACGCCTACATCACATTGACCGAATGAAGCCGGTCACAGTCGAACGTGTGCCTGCTGTGCTACCATATGTCAGAGGTGTCACAGACAAGATTGGCTACATCTTGAGTCAATAAAAACCCGTGTAAAAGAACACATAGATGACGTGAAGCACCAACGTTCCGGGAAGTCTGCAGTATGTGATTATATCCTAGACGGCCCCCGCTATTACATTAGATTTGATAAACTACAAATTCTCGCGAAAGAACATCGATTCCTGCCAAGGATGATACGTGAGGCTATTGAAATTAAAAAACATCCTAATTTCAATAGAGAGGGAGGCTGGGTACTACCACCTGCTTAGGATCCTGTAATTAATAAAGTTAAAACTAAACCCAAGCATACCACTGCAAGACTTCAAGACACAGTAAGTTGATTCTGCGTAGATCGGACCAAAATTAATAATTAAAACAGCTGAAGGTATTCCGGGTTAACTCTGACATCGGGACATCAATCACCTACTTCCCTCGTACCATAGGTGCTGTAAAGCACCCGAAACGTCTAGAATTAATAAATATGAGAAAAATAAGTTAATTTAACGCGAAAAAATCCGTAAAAGTAGTTTTATTCAATGTGTTGTGATCGTGTAAATATAAGAAATCATTAGGTATAAAAAGGGTTATTATAAATGAATACATGGTCGATAATAACCCCTGGTAATAAGGTGGTCGCTTCCAAGCTGTTTCTAAAATAAATTTTGTAAATAATTTCATTCATTCATTCATTTAAAATTTACTTTAAAGAAAGTCCTGCTAGGTATCTTGCTGATTCTTCCCAGGACAGAGAGTTTTTGGGGTTTAGATATTCGGGGCAAATCAGTGTCGTCTTGATACTTCCAATAACACATTCCAGTACAATGCTGAGTCGTTGTAAATATCACCAAATAACAGTCTAATCGTAATTCAGCATACAAATAGTCAAATAGGAATGCTGAGTGGTCCTAACTAGAAGATAAGCCACTAGAACCGAAATAAGCATATCTGATATCGGGAGTATTGAAATACGGACTAAAAAATAAAAAAATTAAGAAAACTTCCTTTACATCTATTCCTCTTAAAGTCTTGTGCTGTCTCTATTACTTTAAATCAAAGTGACTGTGACACCACGAGACTTAACGAAATCTTAAAATTGAGTATCGTTTGAGTGTTTGTCCATTACGGTATTGTTTATCTCTCTCACAATAAGAAACCCGTTGATTCTTATTTTGAGAGTGGTTGTGTGCCCACGCACCAGGTAGTAAACTATTCAAGGTCAGCTACGTAAGCTCGAGACCCACCTGTCCCTTTCCGAACTTCCGTCCACATTTAAACACAATTAGTAACTCGAAATATAATTGATTGCAAGTGATTTTTGAAATTATTAAACTTTTTGAATATCATCCTTCCGGAATGAAATAATAGCAATAACTCAATAATTTGACAACAAAACTCGAGTTTATAACCGTTTTGGAATCTGCATGAAGTAGGTATGTTTTTTAAGCTGATTTAAGCTCGGGATCACTTATTTAACTTTTAATGGGAATTCAAAGTGTGGACTTACAACGTGCTCGCTGGTAAAGGGTTTCCCTTTATCGCGAGGGCATCTTCATCTTTAAGAGTTTAAAAAAATATTTTGAGGACGTATGTCCACTCCTCCTACTTCCTTATTTACTTGCAGACCGTTACCGTTAGAGCCTATTAAAGTCCACTGCTGAACATAGGCTTCCCCCATGGATTGTCTCATAGGAGGAATATTTGCTATAGTTGCCACGCTTGACAAGCGTGTTGGCAACCGCCGTTTTTTATGTCGATGTGAGTAAGACGCTGCTGTACATCTCCTAATTTGCTTCCCTCTGTCGCCTCCTATGACACACACGGGATGATATGGGATATTGGATATTCTTTCACCGCCACTACACTGGTGGTGACGTATTTTGAAATTAACCTCGCACTTTGAAAAAAATATTGTGGACAGCTCGCTAGCACAGTGACCAAGCGCTTGGTATTGTGGCTGCGAGAATGCTTAAATAACTTTAGAAACAAGTGTTTATATTATGACCTACATATAAATATAAATCCGGGTGTGGATATTTGTCCATGTGTAATTTCTGTATGTAAAATGCCTTCACGACGATGATGAACAGTCGAAAATCCTAGTGTGGGGGTAACAAAAACAAATTGATGAAAAAGAGCTCAATTTTTTATTAAGTAATTCCAGCATAGAGTAATTATAATACGTAAGTAAGTAAAAATTTCAGTGATATTTCATATAAACCACATATTTCACGATACTTACTTATTTTATATAAATTTCTCTCATTGTTCTGTTTCGCTATGTAGTTCCAATCGTACTTCGTATTGTGATCTGTACCAAATCCACCAACTTAGTGCATGACGAGTCGCCGCCGAAACAATCCAGCAATAGTAGCATACCTAGTGCATAATTCAATAATCAAAACTATTGTTTACTAGCGGACCGGGCGAACTTCGTACCGCCTAACAGTCGATTCTTTATTTTTTTTTAATACTTATTCTGCTATTCGGGACACCGGCCGGGCTATTCACAATCGTCTCGGAAAGCGAAATCGACTCGGATTCGATAACTTCTCGCACCGAAACCAATAAACGCTATTCACATTTAACGTTCGGATAAAAGTCACTTAGATACATCCTATAACTATTGTATCGTCATTTAGTTACATGCATTTACGAATTTTGTAGATAAATAGGCTTTTGTATTTTATTAGAGTAATGCCTGAACAAAAACATAATGCAATATTTTGGAGTTAGCCAGTGATATCGAATATAAAAAAAATATATAATTTAACTATATAATAAATAACAAAAAAAACTGACATATATCTCGTTTCTGTCGGGTCTGGGTTTTTTTCTATAGGGCGTGACCGTACTTCTTTGACGTTTGTTTCCGATAATTGTGACAGTTTGCATCGGAAACTTCACGAGAGCTCTGAAGCTAGCGAAAACTTTTCGAATATTGATGATTAGAAGAGATAAATAAACCCTTTTAATTATAAGGTAGGTAACAAAAATTTATTACAATTATCTATAAGACGTATTTTCATATAATTACTTCAATATTTGCACTTAATCGTAAAGCTGAATTTTTGTGAAAGGTGTGTTTTTATAAGTTTTCTATCACAAAGCCATATATATATATATATATATATATATATATATATATACGGAGTGACGAAAAAGTTATCACATAAAATGAAAAGACGTATGCTACATAAATTTCTTTAAACATACACAACTAAAAAAATATATAACAATTAATACATTAGCCGCGGTAGCATTTTTTTCGTTTCAATATTAAATAACATCATGTAAATGCATACAGATATCACCTGATGAATTCTAGAAGGTCAAAGACCCATGCCATTTCAAGGCGAATATAGGTAGTTTAAAGGTTATCAAACCTAACTACTCAAATAAAGAAAAAATCAAACAAAAACTGTACTTACGGCTAACAATTTAAGGCATAATTTTATGCGCGAAATTAAAAACAAAGGGAACGCACGCTGCAGGCGTATGAAAACAAAGTCAAGCGAAAAATTTACTTAAAATAATGAAGTTAAGGCATAATTCTCTACGCGCAAAGTGACAAGAAATGGGATCGGGTGTTAATATAAATTATTATTTTTCTGGCGCGTGCGACGTTTTGTAAGTCACTTCAGGTCAGTAACCTATATATCAAGGCTGATTTATTTCTTGTCAATATTTTACCCTATTTATTTTGTTTGAAAAATGCATTTTTTATTTTCTTTTATTATTGTTTATTTTATTATTTTAACAGACATATATCAACTTGTATTAACTGCTGTGCTATTTAATGTGATAACCTCGGCGCCACCCAGTATATATATATATATATATATATATATATGGCTATATATATATATATATATCATCATCATCATCATGATGATGATGATGATGATGATGATGATATATATAGGTTTTTTGTTATTTATTATATAGTTAAATTATATATTTTTTATATTCGATATCAATGGCTAACACCAAAATATTGCATTATGTTTTTGTTCAGGCGTTACTCTAAAAAAATATAATAGCCTATTTATCTACAAAATTCGTAAATGCATGTAACTAAATGACGATACAATAGTTATGGGATGTATCTAAGTGACCTTTATCCGAACGTTAAATGTGAATAGCGTTTATTGGTTTCGGTGCGAGAAGTTATCGAATCCGAGTCGATTTCGCTTTCCGAGACGATTGTGAATAGCCCGGCGGGTCAGCTATTAAGATAAAAACAGAAAAGAGAAAGTTGATAAGTCAACAATTACACTATGTCAGAAAATAAAAATTATAATTGTTTTTCTTCCCGAAACCCTTCCACTAACACTTAAACTTTATGGTATGGTAAGTTCAAATTGACTTTTAAGTATTATTACGAATTTTTTGTAAGGGAATATAGAAAAGTGTTTTTTTTTATATACTTTTTTAGGCAATTTTTTAAATTTTTCTCTCCGTAAGAACCATCTTCGTACTTCAAGGAATATTATAAAAAAAGAATTAGCCAAATCGGTTCAGCTGCTCTCGAGATTTGGGCTTAGCAACACAAGCGATTCATTTTTATATTATTGATTAGTATTATGTTTTATACATACCATTTTTTTTAAAACGAAGTAATAATCGAACTTACAATCCACATGATGTTAAGTGGTGAGTGAAATCCACAAGCACATGCAATTAACTGCAAATAAAGGGTTACAGATGCGTTGACACATATGAGGATTAACATCGTATGCCTCAGCCTATAATTCTACTGGCTCTTTATACTCCTCAGGATAAAACACAGCAGTACACGTACAGCTTGGCGGCAGATATAGGTAAAAGTTTGTACCTACCCAGCCGGACTCCTAGGAGGAAAAGGAGTCCCAATACCTAGTGTTTTTACAAACATTTACACGTAATAGAGCCATGCTGCAGCTATATTAGTAGTATAGTTGTAGCACGAATAGGTTGGCTCGAACGTGCAAGGACCACGCTCTCACAGAATACCAGCGTAAAATAGTAGCTCAACGCTGCGGCGTTTTGTATGGTGAGTGTAGAGAACCGGAGACCCTTTTTACTGGAAAAGAGGCGTTCCATCTTAGTCCTCACTGGTGACAACGCATCTGCATTTCGATTCTTTATTGAGGATAGATGTAGATGCCTGTGGGCCACAGCAACCACTTACCATCAGGTGGACTGTGTGCTCGTTTATCAACCTATACTATAAAAAAAATATTGGAAAATAAATACTGTTAAAACTACTTTCACTATTCCTACTATTATACAGTTAATAATTAAAGATCACTTTAGATTTTTTTAATAATTCTACTAGTAGCATCCATCACGTTTTCATATATCGTGATTGTAACCTTCAACGGCTATATCTTGGCCACATAGTTACCGATGACTTGAAGGATGATAGTGATATTGAAAGAGAAAGGAGGGCGATTGCAGTCCGCTGCAGCATGTGTAACGCAGAAGTTAAAATTACGCTGTTTAAAGCCTTCTGCCAAACAATTTACACGTGTAATCTGTGGGTTAACTATACGCAGCTGGCTATCAATGCTCACCGAGTTCGACATAATATAGCCTTCAGAGTGATGTTGCCACTGTATCGGGATTAACATTTTTTTTTTTATAAAATAATTCCAGATTTTTTTTATTTATATACAATTTGTACTTTAATTTCGGCCTTTTTAACTCTATATTTCGACCATCAAACTGTTCACACTCAAAATATAAAATTGATTATTATTATATATATATTAATTTTTGAATTTATAAGCAATTTTAAATTGTAAATTCTATTGTATTTATATTTATATCTATTGTAATAATTTTATATTAAAAACAAGTTTTCTGTTGTTATTATGTCCATCATTATTTTGTACAATATCGTACACATTATATTTACAATCCCAAAACAACATTCAAAGGAACACTTACAAGTGTCATACATGCCAGGACGAAAGTGGAAGCCAGAGGCCATGGTGTTGCTGAAGAGTGAGTTTCTTGTGATATCAATCCAGTAAACGTCCTTCCAGAAAGCCATGCAGCCATAATGGCGAGCGGGGACATCAATATAATTCCTAAAGTATCCACCATTAGCTAGAAATAATTCGATTTATTAACATTAGCTAGCTGCCGCTATCAAATTAGCAGCAATTTAGGCAATTTTTTATTTTATCAGAATCAGAATAGTTTATTTGTCAAACATAGGTAGGTTACATTTAAGACCTTGCGAGGGTTACAATTATTAGAGCGCTATGTTTTGTTTTAAAGGCATAGCGCGTTCCTATCTTATTAGGAATATCATATATTTTAAAAGGTATCATCAAACCCAACATCATATGCTACAAATAAAAAGAAAACTTGTTAGACTGCTCCATCATCATGCTATGTTTGCATGCAACAGAAGTATCCATAGAAAAAAGCGTACATCATATATGTTCTTTTTCGTGACATCGGATAAAAATATTAGCTCTCACGTTTATATTGGCTTTATCTCTTACAACATATTATTAATCAAATTTGCTTAAAAAAATATAAACATCTTAAACAACAATATTAATCCACGTGTGTACCTGTTTAGCATTTTGACTTAAGATCCACATTACAAGACCTTTAGGAACACCATATCTGTGGACGCGACGAGTGACATAGCGAATACCGCATAATTCACACCTTGACTTCCCAGACTCTGTTAGCCAACGTTCCAAACATCGTATATGCACTCTGCCTACTGTTCCCCGACAAGAACACGCTGATATTAAATTGCCAAGTTCTTGAGAAAACGTGTCACCTCCGTGACAAATACGACACATGTCCTCAATGGAATAACTATTAGATATTTCTTCATTGTTATAATTATCTGTTATTTTTTCTATGTATAAAGTGTTAGGAATTGTTGTCAAACCTTCTGTGTCTGTTCCTATAGACAATTTAGTTACAATTGTGGTTCGGCTACTTGTCAGTGGAGTTCTACGCTTAGGATTTCTTATTTTTATTATATGTTGCCGAGCATGTCTGCTTCTTTTTATTGCCGTTTTCTGTATATCAGATTGTGTTTGAATTTTCATTGTGTTTTCTTTTTCTTTTACTAAAGATTTCTTATAAAAAGTAATAGAAGTATTGGCACTAATTAAATCGTTTATGCTTAATGTTACTGATATGTCTTTATTGGTAGTTATCAAATTACCTTTAGTGGTGGTTAATAAAGTGCTAGAATTATCTTTAATGTTTTTTCTATCGTCAGTACATATTGTTGTATTAGGAAGAGTTTGTTTATCACAATCAACCAAATTTGATATACAATTTGTAGTAGGTTTTACGTCTTTTTTGATATCGGAATTACTACAAAGAAACAAAATGACAATAAAAGGAATATAAACAATTATTTCACATAATTTTGTGTCAAAAAGTACTTTAACTTTAATCTTATATAACATTTGAACGCATTAATATAAGAAAAAAATTACCTTACTAACTTTGCATTTTGCAATTGTGCTATATCATTGGTTATTATATTATTTTTTACTGAAAATTTTCTGCGCCTTGGATGCGGCATATTACTGTAATTTTGAATTTTATTGGCGGGGTATATTATATTTACAAGGAAGTATTAGAAGTTTATGTTGTCATTTCGTAATTTAAGAGACATGATATGTCACATCATAGATTATTATTTATGTATAATAATTTTAATATGTCCGAAATTTATAGATGTATGTACTAGGAACAAAGAGTATATAATCGAAACTTTTTAAAGATGTCATATATTTTTGTGTCATAAACGTTAATAGTGCACTATATTCTGTTAAATAAGTAAAGAGGCCCTGAATATATATGACCACTGCACGATTTATTCTCTGCCTTCTCATTTTCTTTAAGACATCACCTCTATAAATAATTAATGTGCATAATAAGTATATTATCAAAATCCCCTTATTATGAAAGTATTCCTCATGTTACCTGAGTCAGTGTCGGAATCTTTTGCGTTGCTATATCATGGGACGTCCAGTTCTGAGGAAATTTATAAATTATTATTTACAACCTATCAAAAGTCCTTTGTTAAACCTATATTTAACAGAGGAGGAAAGCCTATGCCTTCCTCCTCTGTTAAAATATTTTTTATATAAAAAATTACCTCATATTTTAATATAATTGATAGAATCAGGCGTTACTTTGCGGAAATCCATTATAATGGGGTTGTTATAAACTAATTTAGTTAATTCCGCGTAAAGAAAGAAAATGATGTGTTCTGCCCAGTTTTAAGGTGACCTACCACCCTCCCTCAATCGCGCGCACTATACCCGTCGCCTTTAATCCCAGCACTAGCACCCCCAGCACCACCACACTAGGCACGACAAACCACTCTCGAAAATACGACACGTGTTTCGCCTCTACACGAGGCATCCTCAGGTGAAGTAGACTCCGCGGAGGCTGGCCGCTAAGTGCCAGTACCTCATATTTGCCATATTTAGCGTTTTCGGTGTGCACGAAAAGTGCTCGAAACGTCGGGAATATAAAATAAGTTAATTAATATACGCGATAAAATCCGTAAAATTAGTTTTATTTAAATGTGTAGTGTTCGCGTAAATATAAGAAATCATTACTGATAACAATTGTTTTTACAAAATATATGTATAATTAAGTTAAGTACGATAAGTTTTGCTTGTGACTAAAAGCTTGCTAGCCGCAAGCAAAACTTATCAGAACTATGCCATCTGAAGGAATAGCAGTGATATTCTTAAGTTCATACGCATATTGAGTTAACTTTCATACGGCACCGTCAACGATGCTTCGTCTGACGCTGCGAAAGTAGGTGGCCAGCACAGAAAAGTACTGTAAACGGGCTATTGTACGGGCGCAAAATTAATATTGTGTCACATGTTCCTCCCCGAACAGCAAACAAAGGATGGCTCAATGCGACCACATCATAGTATTTCAAGGAAATTTTTGGTTTCAACAGGTAAAAGGTCTTTGTCAGACTACGAAATTATTTATTCACATTTGATTGCTGATGGAGATAGCAGTACCCATGCTTGTATCAGAAATACCCGACTATATTATGTATCTTGTATGAGATATACCCGATATTATGATAAGTGTCGTTGATAGAGTCCCTAAATCAGAAACATTTTATTAAAAGCAGCACTATTTTATGGATTGCAAACTCGCTATGGCTAGAAACTAAAAGTTATATGTGGTAGAGCCATGCTGCAGCTATGTTATGGTTGTAGCACGAATGGGTCGGCTCAATCGGGGAACGACCACACTCTCACAGAATACCAGCGTAAAATAGCAGCTTAACACTGCTGTGTTTCCTATTGTAAGTGTAGAGAACCGGAGACCCTTTTTACTGGAAACGAGGCATTACATCTTAGTCCTCACGGGTAACAACGCATCTGCATTTTGATTCGTAATTGAAGATAGATGTAGATGTCTATGGGTCACAGCAAACACTTACCATCAGTTGGACTGTGTGCTCGTTTGTCACCCTTATCCTATAAAAATGCTTCTTCGGGTTAAATTTTATACGTGGTAGAGCCATGCTGCAGCTATATTAGTAGTATAGTTGTAGCAAGAATGGGTCGGCGCGACCGGGGAAGGACCACGCTCTTACAGAATACCAGCTTAAAATAGCTGCTTGACACTGCTGTGTTTCGTATGGTGAGTGTAGAGAACCAGAGACCCATTTTACTCGAAAAGGCATTCCATCTTAGTCCTCACGGGTGACGACGCATCTGCATTTTGATTCTTTATTGAGGCTAAATGTAGATGTCTATGGGCCGCAGCAACCATTTACCATCAGATGGACTGTGTGCACGTTTGTCACCCTATCCTATAAAAAAAAAATTACACCGAAATGGAATAAGTAAAAATAGAAACACTTCCGTTTTTCACCTCTCTGTTACGGTCTACATTTCAATAATAGTTATATTATAAATTAATTAAATAAATAGCGACAGGTGCTACTGTTTGAATGTCCATCTCGGACAGATGACAATACAAATATGTAGTAATTACAAAATTATAAAAATAAACAAGTATGATTGTGACAATCATGCCCCATTCTTTGGTTGCCAATCATGGCCGATGGTGTATAGGCGGGGTCAGGATTATTTCTTTTATTAACACCACAGTCACTAACAGATCTATTAGCCATTTTGCAAAACAATTACTTAATAAAAATAATAGTATAATACTCTAAAAAATTACAAAATATCTAGGAGCTTATTTCTTGCGTGCCGAATTGTGCCGAACTGTCGTTCAAAATCGGTTACAAAGTCGTAAAATTTGCTATCCTTTTCTATTTTGCTATATTTCCATAAGGAATTTTCTTCTCATTAGCACACTTATGTCGTTTTATTACTATACTAAGTCTATGTTTTAATTCATCCAAACGCGGAGTTTTATTGTGGTTTATAGTATTTTCAAAATATTAATTTAAAAATAATGAAGCTATTTAATTTTTAATTTTAAAAGGAATGGGTAGAAAAAGATGTTTTTTAACATATTAAGCTAAATTAAGTAACATATTTTTTTATTTTCAAAAATTTGTAAAAATTACATTTGGTTTGAATTTTTTATATGTTATGTACACAACCTAAATCAAAAATATCTTTTCTAGTAACTATTTTTCTTGAGGTTTGACAAATTGATTGTATTTTTTAGTTTCATAAAATTGTGAGCCATTTCAGATTAAAATATCTAGCTATGAAATTGAGACTAAAAGGGAAATTAAGAAAACCTCTCTTTAGTTTTCTTGATAGCATCCACAAACGCTGTATTAATATTAAAAAAAAATTCCCTTATATCTATTTAAACCATAAAATTTACTAAAGTTATGAGCAATTGTCATTTGCGTCGGAATAGCGGTTGATGGATATTAACGGGTTTGAAAAGTACTGTTTTGAGCTAACCAGCACTTGGAACGTGAATAGGTCCTTAATACATTTTTCTTTAAAATTATTTCGTCATAAAACCAACTCCATTCTTACTTTTAATGAAATATGTTGCACGATAAAATAATATGCTGTCAGGTTATTCTTCTACATACTAAAATTGTCTTTTTTATTTCAAATAAGCCTATAACATTCCATTTAAAATTAATTTCTGCTTCAAATAACTCTGTAAATCTTGCCTCAGTTGCAAAAAATCATTCAAACTGCTAACTCGTAAATATTTTCAAGTTTATTTTCTTTTTTTATTTCTTTGCTTTTATTTGTTCCTTTTGGGGTTTTTGGTTAGAGATGTCTGCAATGACAAACCTTTCTGGAAAATTGTGACGTGTGATAAATGTTATTCAGTATCTGAGTTTTTGTTTTGTGTGAGAGTGTTTCTTTATATCTTTTTTTAAGTACTTTCCTGTCTTTGTGAATATTATTTTATTTCCGTGATTTCCGGGAATTTCATATCATTTTACTGTCTTGCTTTCTGTTTTGATTATTTTGTGTTGTTTTTTCTTAGACAATTTAATTTAATCATAATTTAGTACAGCTGGTATTCCATGTATCTTATATTTTTGGAGTTCATCTCCAAAAATATAAGATACATAAAATTACATTAGTACTTAATTGTTTGACATTTAGAATCATGAATTTCTAGCTAGCTAGCCAGCTTTCGTTTTAGTGCCATTTAAATGCAAATTATTAACATTGAACAAATTTACTAATTTATATATAGCATTATTTACTTTGTCACATTTTTGTAACTGTCGACTTAATTTGAAAATTAAAGAAATCATCTGCAAATAATACTATATCATGGTTATCCCCTACTATGTAAGGTAAGTCATTAATGTATACAAGAAACAGAAAGGGGCCGAGAATTGAGCCTTGAGGCACCCCCATTTGTACCATCGACCCGGAAGAGCTCATACTGTTAATGACACTTTTTTGCGTTCTCTTACTTAAATATGAAATAATTAATTTAAGAGCATCACTTCTTACACCGTAGTGTTGAAGTTTCCTGATTAATGTTTCATGGTGAACACAATCCAAGGCCTTGGATAGGTTACAAAATATACCCAAAGCATCCTGTGAATTCTCCCATGCATTAAAGATATATTTAATCAGCTCAACACCGGCATCAGTTTTCGAGCGACCCCTTGTGAAACAAAACAGATTTTTATGAAGTTAAATATTTATATTAAAGAAATTTAACATTTGGTCAAGAATAATTTTTTCAAAATCTTAATAAGTGTTGGTAGAACAGAAATAGGTCTAAAATTGGCGGGGTCTAATTTACTACCAGATTTAAATAAAGGTATTACTTTACTATGCTTCATTAAATCAGGAAACACACCAGTTTCGATACTAGTATTAAAAATAATAGCTAAATGAGGCGCGATTGTATCTATTATAAACGCAATAACTTTAACGGAAATCCATCACAGATCCGCAGTTTTCTTAACATTAATAGTTTTAAAATATAATATTTTATTTTATATTAAATATAAATTAAATATATTTTATATTAAATATAGTAGTTTGATAATTATGATCCCAAGCAGATGGTCCATCATCCACCCATCTTCTATATTGAAATTAGGAAGTTTTTTGA